GGGACCAGACACGACAGCGAACTTGGTTGGAATATTATTGCGTTTTCGCAAAGAACCGATTGCCCTGACGTCCGATGTGGAAGAAATGTTTATGCAGGTGAAAGTCCCAGAGTTTGACCGAGGTGCTCTGCGGTTCCTATGGTGGCCTCAGGGTGATTTCTCGAAGGAACCTATTGAATATCAAATGACGTCACACCCATTCGGTGCAGTGTCCTCACCGTTTTGTGCGTATTTTGCAATGGCCAAGACTGCCGAGACGTATGCCAACGATTATGATAGCTATGTGGTGGAAGCAGTGAAGCATAACTTTTATGTTGATGATTGCCTAGTGTCCTTTGCAAGCCCAGGTGAGGCAAAAACGTTCGTAAAACAGTCCACTGAGTTGTTGTTACGTGGTGGCTTTAAATTGAAGAAGTGGGTGACTAATTCAGAGGCAGTGAGAGTAGTTCTTCCTGGTCTGAGCCACACAGAGAACTCAGTCGACTTACGTGTTAGTCAAGGCTCAATCCACAGGGCCCTAGGTTTGGAATGGGACACCATGCATGATGTTTTTAAGTTCCGATTTGAACCCGTCGAAAAACCCTTCACGAAGAGAGGACTACTATCCACCGTCTCAGCTCTTTTTGACCCACTAGGCCTCATCGCCCCAGTTTGTCTTCCGGCCAAGCAGCTATTGCAGAATCTTTGCAAATCTCATGCTGGTTGGGATACACCCCTGAGTTCCAATGACCTATCCCTATGGATGGATTGGATGAGGTTCATGAAGAATCTTGGGCAAATCTCCGTACCCAGAAGTATCAAGAAGGAGGATAAGAGTGAGATGAGTAAGATTGAGTTGCACTTATTTTGCGATGCCTCTGAATCTGGTTATGGAGCGGTGGCTTATTCGTGGAACGTTCCAAAAAACACGCCACCCTACAGCATACTGCTTTATAGCAAATCCCGGGTTGCCCCTCTGAAAACGGTGACAGTGCCGAGATTAGAGTTAGCTGCGGCAGTATTGAGTGCACGAATGAGTGAAATTTTGAGGAAGAACCTCCCAAATAGCTTTGACAAGACTTATTTTTGGACAGATTCTATGATTGTTTTGTACTATATTAGAAATACAGAGAGTCGGTATAGTACGTTTGTGGCCAACCGTCTAGCCATTATTCACCAGTATTCATCCCCAAATCAGTGGGGGTACGTTAAATCTGAAGAGAATCCCGCAGATTGGACATCAAGAGGCATACGAAAAGCGTGTGAATTAGCGTCTTGGATTCAGGGCCCCTCTTTTCTGGGAACCCGACAGTTTTCAAGTACCACAGACCTCTGCTGGAAGGAACCACCGAAAAATGTCGAATTGAAGAGGTCGGTCCGAACAAACACAAACGTTACTGAGCTCACTGCTGATCCGATTTTGGCGTATCATTCGGACTGGGTGAGGCTGATTAAAGCTGTGGCATGGCTTAAGAGATATGTGGTCTACATATCCGTTATGTATTCGCGTCGCCAAGGTGTGTCACTGAATGTTGGCTATCTAACAGCCGATGAACTGGAAGCTGCTAGACATAAAGTATTATGTATGGTACAACAGGAGGTATATGGAGAATTAATAAAGGAACTCCGAGAAAAGGGTAGTTGTGAGACTGAAGAAGGTGAATTGCAAAGGTTGTCACCTATACTTGTGGATGGATTGGTCTGCGTCGGTGGGAGGTTGAACTATTCCGACTATCCACTTACTTTTAAGCATCCGGTTATCCTCCCCAGACATCACTTCGTGACTGAGCTGATCATAAGGCATTATCATATTATAGAAGGACATACTGGTACTTCGCAAGTCCTGGCCACTCTACGAAGAAACTATTGGATAATTAAGGGGATCAGTGCGGTCAAACGGGTGATAAGAAAGTGCATAGAGTGCCGACGATTGAAAGCTGCACTGGGTCAGCAGATGATGGCCCCTTTACCGGTCTGTCGCGTGCAGAAAGGATGGTTTTGCTTCTCGTCAGTGGGAATTGATTATTTTGGACCACTCATGGTTCGCCAGGGAAGGAGAGAGGAAAAGAGGTACGGGTGTGTGTTTACTTGTCTCCAGACGCGAGCCATACATTTAGAGGTAGCTTTCAACCTAGGCACCGACGCCTTTATAATGGCTGTAATGAGGTTCATAGGAAGAAGAGGAACACCTGCAGAGATATACAGTGATAATGGTTCCAACTTTGTTGGAGCGATTTCGGAACTAAGACAACTGGTGAGTGTGTGGGATAGACGACGAATCAATGATGCCATGGTGTCAAAGGGGATACGATGGAGTTTCAACCCCCCGCAAGCGAGTCATCGAGGTGGGATATGGGAAAGGATGATACGTTCTGTACGCAGGTTATTGATGGTCATATCCAAAGAGCAGACTCTGCATGATGATACATTAGCCACCTACTTCGTGGAGATAGAAAGAATTTTGAACAATCGTCCTATTGTTCCCATGACGACCGACCCAAAAGACGAGTTAGCTCTCACTCCCAATAGCTTATTGTTATTGAGAGATAGTGGAGGAATAGTCGTGGAGGGCACTATTGCCGATAATTACGTCAGACGTTGGAAACAAGTTAATTACTTAGCTGACGTATTTTGGCGCCGATGGATGAAAGAGTATCTACCATGCTTGCAAACTCGTCAGAAGTGGTTGGGAAGGAAAAGAAATTTCAAGGAGGGAGATGTGGTGATTGTGGCCTCTGAAAAAACACCACGTGGTTCCTGGCCTTTGGGAGTGATCGAAACATGCGAGAAGGACGAAGACGATTTAGTAAGAACTGTGATGGTGCGTATGAAGGAAGGTACCGTGAGAAGAGATATAGGAAAGCTTTGTCTTCTTGAGGGAGTAGAAGAAAGATAGAGTACGCAGACAGCTAGGTAGATAGAGCCACGGCTGAATACACTGAGAGCAGACCCGTCTCCAACGCATATTCTATCTGCGACAAACCAGAGCGCCAGGATTCAGAGGTGACAAAGCTGTGCAGCTCTGTGAAACAGTTGCTACGATCTCGAAGTCGTAGCTCACGTAGCACTTCACAGAAACGCACCCTGGCGCATCGCAGCAAATCGCGTGGTAGCCCTAAGACTAAACCTAGCAGGGTGGAAAACCCTGAATGGTGCTGCTTTCATAACACTTACGGAGATGAAGCCAGAAAATGTCGTAAACCATGCCGTTTTAAGAAGGACACAAACTCGGGGAACGGTCACGCCGGCACGCGCTCGCGGCAACCGTAGCCGGCGGAAACGGCCGTTTGCTCTACGTCACCGACATTGAGACGAAAGTCCGCTACCTCGTCGACACCGGCGCAGAAGTTAGCGTCCTTCCCGCACCGACAAAGGAGCGTCATCTCGACCCATCCTTCAATCTTCAAGCAGCCAACGGTAAGGCAATCGCGACATTCGGGAGACAGTATGCCTACCTCAACTTAGGTTTACGTAAACCTATCCACTGGATCTTCCTCCTTGCTGACGTTTCTATGCCCATCATTGGCATAGATTTGCTAAACCATTACGATCTACTCGTAGATGCTCGCCGTCGACGACTGATAGATAACAACACAAAGTTATCCATTGGCGGCACCACCTATTTAGGTCCGAGTTTAGTCATCGTTAGAACCAAACAATCAGGCGACGCGTCCTACCAAGCAGTTTTGGAGAAATATCCAGAGTTGCAGCAACCGAAGCACACTCTTCCGTGCGTAACCAGCAATGTTATGCATCACGTGACAACCACAGGTCCACCTGTGACATCCAAAGCGCGCCGTTTAGCCCCCGATAAGCTCAAAACGGCGAAAAGCTAATTCGACCACATGCTGGAACTGGGCATTATCAGACCGTCAAACAGTCCTTGGGCATCGCCATTGCACATGGTTTCCAAAAAGGATAGCAACGACTGGTGTCCAACCGGTGATTACCGAAGGCTTAACGCCAAAACAACTCCGGACTGCTACCCGATACCTCACGTTTACGACTTGACTGCAACCTTATGCGGAATGAACATTTTCTCAAAAATCGACTTGGTCAAAGCGTACAACCAGATACCTATGGCAGCAGAAGATATCGCGAAAACAGCCATTATTACTCCTTTTGGCCTGTTTGAATTCCTGCGCATGCCATTTGGTCTTCGGAATGCAGCACAAACATTCCAACGCTTTATGGATGATGTCTTCCGTGGTTTGAATTTTGTTCATGTCTACATCGATGACTGTCTAATTGCGAGTCCAGATAAGGAAACTCACCTCAAACATTTGGACCTCGCATTCGAAAGACTTAAAAAACATTGCATCACAGTGAACTTACAGAAGTTGAATCACTCAGCTTCCTTGGGCATACCATTGACAACAAAGGTATACGCCCATTGAGAGATAAAGTGGCGGCTATCACAAACTATCCAGAGCCGACCACTGTGAAACATCTCCGCACTTTCAATGGCCTGGTAAGTTATTACCGAAGGTTTATCCCTAACTGTGCCTCTGTCATGAGACCACTAACAGATCTACTTCGAGGAACTACGAAGTTCGTGTCTCTGGACAACGCGGCTAGACTTGCTTTCTCTAAAGTCAAGGAAGCCATTTCGAACGCAACCATGCTTATGCATCATGACCCCAATGCTCCTTTGAGTATTGCTGTTGATGCATCTGATTCAGCAATTGGAGCAGTTTTGCAACAGTTGACTGACAACCAGTGGCAACCGTTAGCCTTTTTCTCGAGGCGGCTGCAAGACGCGGAAACAAGATACAGTACATTTGGTAGGGAACTCCTAGCTATGTACTGTTCTGTACGCCATTTTCGACATTCTGTGGAAGGTCGTGATTTTATTAGTTTCACAGACCACAAACCGTTAACGTTTTCCCTCAGCTCGGCGTCTGACAAATACTCCTCTCGTGAGTCGCGACAGCTGGATTACATTTCCCAGTTCACGTCAGATATCCGCCACATTTCTGGAGCAAACAACTCCGCAGCCGACGCACTATCTCGAATAGCTTCGATAAACTATATCGAGGGAGTTGATCTCGTTGAACTAGCTCGGCGTCAAAAGGAAGACCTTGAGCTGCATCATGAGTTGTCGTCCACAACTCTCAAGCTGCGACTTTGTCCGGTTGGATCAGACAAGGATACAATTTTGTGCGATGTCTCTGCTAGTCAACCACGCCCAATAGTTCCGAAGAGTTGTCGACGCAACGTCTTCAATACGTTGCACAAACTCTCTCATCCAGGTGTACGAGCCACCATTAGGCTTATCGCACAACGTTTCTGCTGGCCTGGGATGAACAAAGACGTTAAGGAGAGGGCTCAGTCGTGCTTAGCTTGTCAAAAGTGTAAAGTCACGCGACACACGAAAAGCCCCTTAGGCTCATTTCTAGCCCCAGACATGCGTTTCGACCACGTCCATATAGATATTGTAGGACCCCTACCAGAATCTAATGGATGTACCTACCTTTTCACTGTGTTGATCGTTTCACACGATGGCCGGAAGCAGTACCTATTAAGGATATTACTGCTGAAACAGTTGCTCGTGTTTTCGTCGAAAGATGGATCGCGAACTTCGGATGTCCATCCTACGTCACAACCGACCGTGGGCGCCAATTTGAGTGTGGATTATTTCACGCTCTAACGGCACTTTTAGGTTGCACTCGGTTCCGAACGACAGCCTACCATCCACAAGCAAATGGCATGGTAGAGCGTTTCCATCGACAGCTGAAAGCTTCCCTTTCAGCTACAAACATACCTCAGTGGACCGAGGCTCTGCCTCTAGTCCTACTAGGTATTCGTAACGCGTTGAAAGTTGATGCTGGATGCACTCCTGCAGAACTCGTCTATGGGACCACTCTTCGCCTACCAGGTGAGTTTGTTTCCCCTTCAACTTTCAAACATCTTTCCGACAGGGCATCTTACGTGACTAGGCTTACAAACGCAATGCGTTCAGTTAGGCCTTCTCCAATTAGACCTCAAACGACTGATGTTTTCGTTCACCCTAGTTTACAGAAGACATCACACGTGTTTGTTCGCCACGATGCCGTTCATCAACCACTTGAACCACCCTACGACGGGCCGTTCAAAGTGATTAAGCGACACGAGAAATTGTGTATAATTGAGCGAAACGGATGTGAAGATACTGTTTGGAACCAGCGTATTTCGAAGGCAACCCCATTATAAGTGACATTTCAGCTCGCTACATCCGACCACCGGATTACTCAATTATCGAAATTCTTGACGATGTGCCTGGTAATGCCCAGCTGCAACGACCATCGGCACAACAAAAAATACGATCACGTCGAACCGTCAACTTCCCAGAGTATCTGAAGTCATATTCAAAGTAGCGGTGTGTGTGCCAACGATGCTTCGTGTCATCGAGGCACCAATTTTCTTATTGACCGCCAATGCACATCCCTCGTTAACTTTGCCTTCTTATATCAATTTTTATTACCATCCAATGAAACTTTTTTTTTAAAAACGGTGAAAATAGGCGTGAATTTTCATTTTTCGATATGTTTACATATAGATAATTCCCATTTTTACAAAACTTTTTCGTGGTATTAAAGACTTTTATTTATATTCCAGGTGCAACGAGCACTGGATGGAACGTCAAAAGGAACTGATGACCGCGATCGACGTCTAATTCGATTTATTGTATTTTATTTATTTAATTGCCACGACACCCTAGAATAAGTTCAGACAACCAGGGGCCACTTCACGCAGTGAGCCCATCGGAAGAGTTTTACCAGTGGAGAAACCACTGGGATTTTACTCCCGGCTGGTATCGTCTTAGGGTTCTCACGAACCCACTACGGGGGGGGAGTGATCTGTAGCGTCACACACTCCCCCAAAATCAATAGCCTAGGATTTGACGACTTTCGACATTGATGCTGACCTTGATAGTGTAACTGGACTCGCTAAGCTGAAGGCACCAGTCAAGCATACTCGCCATTTGGCACGCTGTCGTGTTACGTTGCATTGCTCGTATTCGACTCTCTAGCCAGTTAGTTGGAACGCATCGGTATTTTGGCACAACCATCCAAATACACTATTCCATCCGACTACACTATCGTGTTCTTCCTTGGTCTCGCATTCGTGGGTATGTAACAAGTCCGAATAATTAGTGATTGGACGTCCGAGGGTGATATGTAGGAGATCGTGCGAGGAGGAAATGAGAGCTTCTGGGCTGTCGTGGAGCCAGGTTCAAAAGATTTCACAGAACAGAATAGAATGGAGACGTTCTACTGACGCCCTATGTTCCATTAGGAACCCAAGGGACTAACAATAATAATAAGCATTAACTCATCATAAAAGTGACCAGCATAGTCGAACACTTACCTACTGCAAGGCTGTCAGTATTCATGAAAACGAAGGAAAAGATGCTCCGGAAGTACATTTGATGCATTCAAACAAGTCTACTGCTTCTGAATGCTGGAGATGGAAAAGAGAAGACATTTAGCTTTCAGTCATGTTATTCATCAAGATTATGAATCTTTGTTGTGGAATGGTATTAACATGCATGAACTATACAGTCCTGGAATCATCAACGAAGTACAATATGTAAACAACTCATGCATACATTCCCTCACAAACTTTTCGTCATTATCTCAAGCAAAAAGTACAAACTGTTACAATGGAAGTATTAGCTTCAAGCTTTATTTTTCTCCTGGCAATACCTGTAGTGTCTAGATACAAAACTGGTTTTTTCTGTTAGTGCGAAGACAATACTTCTACTTGTCCAACTTGTAAGTTTTTTGCACACATTCTGTTGGGATGTTTCATTATATGAACATGCAGCACTTATATCTTCTAGTGACAACGGGTAGGGATTCAGATTACCCTCCATGAAGATGCATGTAATTTATATATAAACGTATTCATACCTGTAAAAATGGTGTGTGCCTGTATATTCAGGAATAAATATTATTGTTATTATGTTCGATTCATTTTCGCAATGCCCCGTTGCACTAGATAAGCGTCTATTTTACCGTAAATTCTTATGCTTATAGCTTCGGATACCAAAAGAACCCACATCGACGGCTTCGGGAATCTGTAATTTTCCACATGATCATGTAATCCAAGTGAATATCCACTCAAGTGTTATCATTCAATACATGGACATTGTGGAAACGCGTATCTGGGACCAGAAAAGAGCCTAAAAGGCTTTTCGTGTGTCGTATGACTTTACACTCCTGACAAGGTGAACACTACCGAGCCCACTCCTCAACGTCTTTGTTCATCCCCGGCCAGCAGAAACGTCGTGCAATAAGTCTGATGGTAGCTCGTACACCTGGATCGGTGGTTTGTGTAACGTATCGAAGAACCGCGTTGATATCTCTTTGGAACCATTGGGTATGGTTGACCAGCAGTGACATCGCATGAAAATGCATCCTTGCCTTGTCTTGTCGCACAGAGTTGTAGCTTGAGAGCTGTGGACGACAACTCACGGTGCATCTCGAGGTCTTCCTTTTGACACCGAGCTGGTTCAGCGGGATCAACGGCTTCGAGGCGGATTATCGAAGCATTGGCTACGAAGTTATCTGCTCCAGCAATGTAGCAGATATCTGACGTGAACCGGAAAATGTAATCCGGTTGTCGCGACTCACGAGCGGAGCATTTGTCGGATGGCGTTCGCCGTTGGCATAATGCGGATAGGCTTCCGATTATCGTCAGGTATGGAAAGTAGCCGTACATGGATATAAAAGGTTATCAAAATGAAAACAATACAATATATACTAAGACATCAAGAATGCTGACACTCATAAAATGCTCCGATTGGATGACTTTTCTACCAGCGGTAATCTACCTCTAACCCTGACGAATTTTACATTATTATTGGTTTTGCTCAGGAAACAATTGCACCCACCAAACTGATCCTGAAGAGAGTTTCATATACTTATAGGAAAACTCGACGAAAACTGAGAAGACTGAGAAAAGTATTTTGTTTTGGAAGAATTCCATATACTGAATCAGATACATACAACATTCCTTTCACTCCTAGAAGACACCGAATGATAGCACCGCCTGAAGGGCGTGGGGCACTCGACAGTTTGTCCAAAACGCAAAACCTTTGCAGCATCCTGTGAAAGCTAAAAAAATTCAAAGGGCTTTTTAATAAATCATCTAGAGCATAAAGGTATAGGTTACCACTATCCACAGGTGATTTGTGAACTTCTCAGTGAGTATTTTCTCAACAGAAGTAACATGTTCCCAGCTCCAGACATCGAAGCAACCAGTACAAGTGATACTACGATCGGTGGCATAGAATTCAGCTTGAGTATCATTAACGATGCAATTGAAACCCTAAAATCAAATGTCAGCTGGGGGACAGACGGGATATCGTCTATAGCCTATGGAAAGGCTGGCAGGTGTATGACAGTCTTTTTACTCAAAATATTGACCCTCTCATTAGATGCTGGGATGTATCCTTACAGGTGGAAAACTACTTATATACTACCAAAACATAAATCAGGGGCCAAGAACAGCAATAGCAAGTACAAACCAATTAACATAACCCCGGTCATCTCAAGGATTATGGGAAAGGTGATTAAAAATCAAAAGCCTAATTACTTGCTGGGGTCTAACCACATCACTTATCGCCACCTGGCTTTCTGAAAAGGAAATCTTGCACTACAAACCTGCTCGACCCTTTAACGAGATCACCAGCAAAACGGATCAGAAAATGAAAGTGATAATACTTTACTTAGACATCACTAAAGCCTTCGATAGAGTCCCACACAGCTTGCTTATCAATAGGCTTAGCTACCCCGGGATCTGTAATCCACTTTCAGACTGGTTAAAATCCTTTCTAAGTAACCGTTACCAAATAACAAAGTTGGCTTTAAAATTTTGTCCTGGTGCAAACCTGACAGACGCAAAGACCAATCACTAATTATTCGGACTTGTTACATACCCACGAATGCGAGACCAAGGAAGAACACGATAGTGTAGTCGGATGGAATAGTGTATTTGGATGGTTGTGCCAAAATACCGATGCGTTCCAACTAACTGGCTAGAGAGTCGAATACGAGCAATGCAACGTAACACGACAGCGTGCCAAATGGCGAGTATGCTTGACTGGGTGCCTTCAGCTTAGCGAGTCCAGTTACACTATCAAGGTCAGCATCAATGTCGAAAGTCGTCAAATCCTAGGCTATTGATTTTGGGGGAGTGTGTGACGCTACAGATCACTCCCCCCCCCGTAGTGGGTTCGTGAGAACCCTAAGACGATACCAGCCGGGAGTAAAATCCCAGTGGTTTCTCCACTGGTAAAACTCTTCCGATGGGCTCACTGCGTGAAGTGGCCCCTGGTTGTCTGAACTTATTCTAGGGTGTCGTGGCAATTAAATAAATAAAATACAATAAATCGAATTAGACGTCGATCGCGGTCATCAGTTCCTTTTGACGTTCCATCCAGTGCTCGTTGCACCTGGAATATAAATAAAAGTCTTTAATACCACGAAAAAGTTTTGTAAAAATGGGAATTATCTATATGTAAACATATCGAAAAATGAAAATTCACGCCTATTTTCACCGTTTTTAAAAAAAAGTTTCATTGGATGGTAATAAAAATTGATATAAGAAGGCAAAGTTAACGAGGGATGTGCATTGGCGGTCAATAAGAAAATTGGTGCCTCGATGACACGAAGCATCGTTGGCACACACACCGCTACTTTGAATATGACTTCAGATACTCTGGGAAGTTGACGGTTCGACGTGATCGTATTTTTTGTTGTGCCGATGGTCGTTGCAGCTGGGCATTACCAGGCACATCGTCAAGAATTTCGATAATTGAGTAATCCGGTGGTCGGATGTAGCGAGCTGAAATGTCACTTATAATGGGGTTGCCTTCGAAATACGCTGGTTCCAAACAGTATCTTCACATCCGTTTCGCTCAATTATACACAATTTCTCGTGTCGCTTAATCACTTTGAACGGCCCGTCGTAGGGTGGTTCAAGTGGTTGATGAACGGCATCGTGGCGAACAAACACGTGTGATGTCTTCTGTAAACTAGGGTGAACGAAAACATCAGTCGTTTGAGGTCTAACTGGAGAAGGCCCAACTGAACGCATTGCGTTTGTAAGCCTAGTCACGTAAGATGCCCTGTCGGAAAGATGTTTGAAAGTTGAAGGGGAAACAAACTCACCTGGTAGGCGAAGAGTGGTCCCATAGACGAGTTCTGCAGGAGTGCATCCAGCATCAACTTTCAACGCGTTACGAATACCTAGTAGGACTAGAGGCAGAGCCTCGGTCCACTGAGGTATGTTTGCAGCTGAAAGGGAAGCTTTCAGCTGTCGATGGAAACGCTCTACCATGCCATTTGCTTGTGGATGGTAGGCTGTCGTTCGGAACCGAGTGCAACCTAAAAGTGCCGTTAGAGCGTGAAATAATCCACACTCAAATTGGCGCCCACGGTCGGTTGTGACGTAGGATGGACATCCGAAGTTCGCGATCCATCTTTCGACGAAAACACGAGCAACTGTTTCAGCAGTAATATCCTTAATAGGTACTGCTTCCGGCCATCGTGTGAAACGATCAACACGAGTGAAAAGGTAGGTACATCCATTAGATTCTGGTAGGGGTCCTACAATATCTATATGGACGTGGTCGAAACGCATGTCTGGGGCTAGAAAAGAGCCTAAAGGGCTTTTCGTGTGTCGCGTGACTTTACACTTTTGACAAGCTAAGCACGACTGAGCCCACTCCTTAACGTCTTTGTTCATCCCAGGCCAGCAGAAACGTTGTGCGATAAGCCTAATGGTGGCTCGTACACCTGGATGAGAGAGTTTGTGCAACGTATTGAAGACGTTGCGTCGACAACTCTTCGGAACTATTGGGCGTGGTTGACTAGCAGA